CCTGCAATGGTTACAATGATGTTATATGTGAAAAGCAGATAAGCAGAACTAGCATATCCATTAACATAGGATTTTGTTGGGATTATACTTGACTCTTTGTGACCTCATCCTATGTAAATTCACTCTGACCTTTAAGCCTTAATTGTTTTATGTTCCATACTCTCTACCCAAATTGTGCAATGGCATGAGAAGCTTTGGCATACTCCTCCTTATAAGTGTTGGACACAGGCATCACATAAGTTGATTTCTATTTATAAGAAAACCAACCAATGAAATTTGCAGAGACAATTTAGACCGATCTGTCCGTTCCCTTGTGTTTCCTGAAAAACTCTTCCAAAAGAAATCTTTTCATTCATGAATGGGAATTTGGAACCAGTCCTATGCTCTGAAATGGTTGGAGGAGTATTTAATTTAATTCAGTTTGTTTTATTTTATCCCAACTTTATTAAATTTATAAATAACTCAAAAGTGGTGAATGTGTCTAATACTCCTTCCTCCTCAGTGGTGGGTTGCCAATTTTTTTACTAGTGGTTCAGGCGCACTTGCCACTTCTGCACATGTGCAGAAGTGTCTGGGTAGGTGGCTACCGCTACTACTAGTTCGCCCGATCTGGGCCAAACCGGGAGCAACCCACCTCTGTTCCTCCTGCTTTCTTCACAGCATCTGTGTTGTGAATCAGACTGAGGGAGAGTTATTTGAAACTCCATAACACAAAGGGATCATATTTACAATATTATTTAATTTAGCCTTCTGTGTTCTACGTGGGGGTCTGACTTTGAGGAGTGGTCTCATGTCTGAGGTTGACATTTTTGAAGAAGCTTGATTGGAATCAGAAAATTGTTGTGGTTCTCCTAGCCGGATCATTGTAAATTAGATGCTATCTTTGGTATTATTCAAGATTTCAAACACGATTGGTACTAGGAGAACAAATGCTGGAGAAATCGCTGCCAAAATACTAATTAGTTTTGGAAACAGCTGTCTGAAAGTTCTTATATACATTTATGCACTGTGATCTGTCAGGCAGGCAACAATTTAGGCTTTTTTATGCTTTTACTTTTTTCTGTATTTAAAATTTTGAGTAATATTTTTATTTCCAATCATCTATTTGTCGGCAGGACTGCGGTTTTATGCTGAGTTTCCTAGATTACAATTCCAGAGCCAAAAGTATATGTTTTATATATGTTGACTGTATTCAGAAAGCAATTTAAAAAGAAACTAATAAATAGCGTATAACATTATACTTGTATTGATTGGTAAAAAAAAATAACTATGAAAAATCTGTTTTTGAAATAGATATGTTAATGGTAAGTGTAAAAAGTTTTGGTTTTAAAGAAATTCATTTTTCAGTAGGTATAAAACAGACTACAGTGTTTGCCTTATTTGAATCAAGTGATCTTCCTATAATGTCAAACTAATTTGCAGACTCATTTCTGCTGATCCTGCATAGGTGATCCTTCCAAGGTTGAGTATTCTGTATGTAGTACTGTATGATCATTCTTGCTGATTATTTTGAAACCTCTATGCTTGCAGGTTCTCAAGGAAAACAAAGTCTGAATTAATTATGAGGTGACTATTTAATAGATCTACGGTTTGTCTGATAAACATTAAATAGCTGAATCCTAACACATTCTTAACATGATTACATTGAGACAATTACATATTTAGTTAGAAGTTTTCCATAACTTTTTTTTAAATCTTTTCAGAAAAAGAGTTTTATTTCTTTTAAAAAACACAAATATTTCATCATTCGTCAATCATTAAAACATTGAAGTACTTTTTGTATGCCCCTCCCTCCCTCCCCCCCAGCCCCCCTCCTCCTCCCCCCCAACTTCCCAGAACCCGTACACGGTATGGATTTTTAACTAACACAGTCTAAAATCTATTGAGAAAAAAGAAATAAAGAAATTAATGACATTCTACATTGACCTTAGCTTCTTCTTACTGAACTAACTTTAAACAGTTTAAATCATTTCTGATCTTAAGCATAGGCTAACTGGAATTTCTTGGTCCCGTATTTATTTTATATATAGTCAATCCTTTTTTTCCAGTCTCGTTTATATCTCTCATTTGAGTGATCTTTAAGATATGCCGATATTTTAGCCATCTGAAGTTTTCCATAACTTTTTAATGAGCTTCAATTTCAAAGATATATAATCCCATAGTGACACTTATATAATAATTGTTTAGTTAGAAGTTTGCCATAACTTTTAAACAAAATTTAATTTCAAAGTTATATAACTGGCTAGGACTGCCTTTGAATTTATGCCAGCTCTGTATTTGCTACACATATATAGTTTTATATAGGAAACAGGACAAGATTTACCAGTGCTTTATAAGAAGAGGGGCAGTATAAACTATTTTTCTGCTTCACTGTTGAAATATAATTTAGCATTGTACATGTAATGTAATATTGCTAATATGATATATTTTTTTAAAATTATACCTCACTGTTTTCTCATGAATAGTGGATAAGTAATTAACAAAAGGTTAAATAAAACTAACAAGGAAATTGAAAAATTGCACTGTAGTTAATATATAGAGACCCATCTCAAATCTATGCGCTAAGATGTTTCCTGCCCAAGCTACTTTCCAAGGACGGCGCTTGAGGGATAAAATGAGAGGCAGGAACCCTCTGTTGCATTAAGCTCCAAAAGAAAGGCAGAATTTAAAACCAAAAATTAATCAGTAAATAAAAATTTTTTGTTTTTTTTTAATGTTTTATCATTTTAAGATGATTTTATATGTTGTTTTAACTCTTGATTGGGAACGGCCCAGAATGGGTTAGAAGATGAGCAGCTAATATAAAAGTTATATAAAAGTTATAAATACATTTCCCTTCCAAACAAAAAAAAAAATAGTTAAAACAAAAGTTGATTCCTTTATTCGCAACATTTTGGAATGCTACTTTAATGATTACCCTTGGATCATAAATAAACATGCAGTATCCATCTGGCAAACCAGCTCACACATCAAAAGCATGTGTGAATAAAGATTTGATGTGAGATTTAAATGATTAGCAAGTCAAAATGTGTGGATCTTAGTCTTCTTGTTATTCTACATTTCTCTGATCTCCGAAATGAAATGCTGTCCTAAAATGTAGGCATTAGACATATTTATTTGCATTCACGGACAGAGACATCTCTAACGCATAGTTAAAACATCTTGAACTCACAGCATATTTTGCCAATGTATCTTCTGCCTTTATTGGTAGTGTCCCATAGCACCTGACCCAACCTTAAAAAGCAATCTGACTTGAAAACTTTCATAAGGAATGCCTCATTTCAAAGTTGAAAGAGCTTCTGGTAGTCTTCCAGAACCTCTCTAGGTATTTTACCTTAGAACAGGTGTCCAAGATCAAAACAAATGTTTGGGACTGGAACATTTCAGCCCTGGAGTGGTTTGCCCATCTCTAATACAGGTGAAACTCGAAAAATTAGAATGTCGTGCAAAAGTTCATTTATTTCAGTAATGCAACTTAAAAGGTGAAACTAATATATGAGATAGACTCATTACATGCAAAGCAAGATAGTTCAAGCCATGATTTGTCATAATTGTGATGATTATGGCATACAGCTCATGAAAACCCCAAATCCACAATCTCAGAAAATTAGAATATTAGATGCAATATTCTAGGCTTAAAGTGTCCCACTCTAATCAGCTAATTAACCCATAACACCTTCAAAGGGTTCCTGGTATTCTAATTTTTCGAGTTTCACCTGTACATTCACAGAGACAAAATAGATAGCATAATTAAAATATTGGTGTTTTCTGGGAGTATAACCTGCTGTTTCTGCACTTTTTCTATACACTTACAATTGTTTGACAATAAGCACATTAGAATAAATAAAAGGTACCTAATCATAAATGAATATAACTCTACAGCTCAGTTATGTTAAGATTCTGCAGAAATTCATATGGATCTAAACTAATAAAATGACACAACATTATGAAAGTATTGAAATTAAATTTGGGTATTTCTTACATGAACCAGGAAAAAAAGGATTGTTGAATTTGATAGTACATTTACGGTGCTCAAAAAAGAGTTAGGTTTAAATAATGAGATTTAGATTGTAAGCACTTGTTTATTGGAGGTAAAAACAAAAGAAAACAAGGGCTTTTATAAACATGTTTAATTTATATCCCTTCATTTATCCAGAGACATTAGGACATCTTAATGATGACCTCTATAAACTAGTTTAGCTTTCAGAGACAGCAATGCACAGGGCAATTTGAGATGAGATCCTGGACATTCCACATGTGAATTTTAATCAAGGCAATTGTTTAACTGAGGTAGTAGAAAAATGAGACGTATTCATAAGTAGAAGATTTAACATCTTCTGTTCAAACTCATTTTGAATTAGGAAATTAGTAGAATAATCAGTTTTAAGCTTTAGTGCATGCGTTTAGATGAAATTGAGCATCCTATAATTGAAAATTACTTGTACAACTGCACTTTCACTCCCTTGTTTCCACTACCTGAAATTCTGTCCTCTATAATCTTTGCAGATTTCATATTGATTTCTCATATATTATTTGATTTATTGTACATACATATATTATGTAAGCAATGTAAACTATTCCTAAAATTTGTTTCATGACAGGTTATTTATTTCAGTTTTCCAAATAAAATTTGTATTTAGATCAATACGGTACAGATCAAATGAAGAATGTAAAATTGTATTTCTAGGAAAAAAAATATTCACTGCTGTTCAGCATTTTGTCTTTAGCAGAATCTTTTTCATATGTCCTTAGAAAACACATCAGCCATTGTCTTTCTGTTTGTTTTTAATATCTTGTGATCCCATTTCTCTCTATATATATCTTACTTTGCATATGCATGTTCTAGATAACTTCAATGGATTTTCCATGAAGATTTAATTTTCCCCTTGGGTTATATCTTGAATTTCAGGAATCTCAATGTGGTATATTTTAGTAAGTATTAAAATGTGAAGAACGATCTTATAGACTTCACTCATTTTCTTACTGTTTTGTTTTAACAGGAAGAATGTTTCTTGAATCTAGAAGCTCCTATTACAAGAGTATGTGGTTATGACACTCCATTTCCTCACATCTATGAACCATTCTATATCCCAGACAAATGGAAGTGCTATGATGCAGTTCGGAAAATGATTAATTATTGATGTCCAGGTGAGAAAAAAATTCCCAAAGTAATTTAAGTCTAAAATGGTGGCTGAACTACGTATAGGAAATATGTTAAGATTTTGATCCTTAATTTAGAGTAGGACTGCCAAACTCCTGGCCACACCCGGTTTAGTGAAAGGGAAAAAAGTCCCAATACGTCATGTGATGCCTCTGTGACGATGTGAGTTTGACACCTCGGATTTAGAGAGTAAACTGTAAGCACAATTCATAGGTTTACAATCAACACTTAGGACAAGATCGAGCAATTTCCCTGAGATTGATGGCTGCAACTTGTTCCTCCGAAGGTCTGGAAAGTCTGTGACCATGTCACCAAAAAGATGATGATAATGATTGGAATGCATTGGAGTGTTTTTGGAGGGGAATTTTAAGAGCTGAAACAGGACTGAAAGATACAGAGCACCATTTCGGGATGGATGTGGAAGGATTTGGGGTGTTATTTTACTTTTCATTTTCACCCTTAGTTTTGATAGGGAAAAATGCAGTGAGATCTCAGGTTACAAACTTAAACCATGATCTGAGCTATTTGTGTTATTAAACTCATGTTAGAAATGCAGTATACAGTTTTACCTGTTGTTTAACACCAAATATAGGAAGAAATAAAACTGAAAGTGCCTTATTTATAAGAAAAATAAATAAATTTCAGCTTTCCAGATATCTCTGATAGAAGTCTTGGCATCGTTCATCATTGAACATATGACAAACTCTCCTGGAATTGGTCAATACAGCAACATATGAACTACCACAAGTTGCCTACCTCTCTTTAATAAAAATATATAATTACTTGTTGAAAATAATGCATAGAGGTTGTTATATAAGAATCTTTCTAGAAAGAAAAGCTGTCTTTATTCCTAGACTGGCTTTCATAGCGGTCATAAATCAGGAAAACCACTCAACAGTTATTCTTGCTCATAAAACCATAAATCAGGATCTAATTCTTCATATTGGTTGCAAGAGGTCAGGCAGTAACACAGGGAAAGTTCCCCATAAACAGTCTTGAGTATAGAAGTCACGTTTCACAGTAGACTTAGTCATAACGGTTGGGTTTATTCTGGGGATCAATCATTCATGCAGCATTTTCAAGATAAAGCTGTCATAGAAATAGCTTCAGCAGAGAATCTCCCATTGTGAGTTGGTCTTAAGTATCCAAGTTCTGATTTAATGGGTCCAACAAAGCTTTGGTACTTAACTATTCCTTAGCCTTGCTTTCTTCTGCTTTTTCTCATGCCACTCTTTTTGCTTTCTTTTGTAGTAGCAGGGCAATATACTTTACATTAAAATTAAGAATGGTGTAGCTTGCTTCTGTTTTTTTTCCTGATATTTCTCCACATGACCTGGGTGTCCTTGGTTTCTGAGTTGACAATTTTTTTAAAAAAA